TTTCCCAACCCGTTATGTATAGAACCGTATGGCTATTTCATATCAGTCCAGAAGAAATAAGTATCTAAATTTAGTGACCATCTAAACTTAGTAGAGGTCCAGCAGTGTGGAGGGACAGCTGTGTCCACATGGAATCTGAAAGATTTTGCCCAAGTCCAGAAGTGACGGAGAGGCTGTTACATAGATCAGATGCGGGTAACTGAATATTGTTTTATGCAGTTGTGCCTAAACCCTGTCAGTAATAGGAGAGAAATTCTTCCCCCATACATTCAGGGGACTTACTCTTCTCTCTGGTTTCCAAAGTGCTTGTATGTTCTTATGATATAGTTTACAGCATGAAAAATATGTTGAAATATCTAAAGAATTTGAAAATATAAACCAAAAGGAACGTTTTCTACTTACGCCTGACGAGCACCGTAGCAAATGAATAAGCCTCGCCGTATTGATTCTTAACTTCAACACTGTATTCGGCGGAATCTTCCATGGAACACCTGGAAGAAAATATTCTTTAGGTTTTAATTTTTTGTTCAAATTACAGAGATAACTTATGGCAGGACAAATTCACACGGGATTTCCTTTAAGCCCAGAATTTAGAAGCAGATTCTGCCTTTTAACTGAGAAGCTGTTTTTCCTTCAAAGAAGGAGATGGGGCTCGAGGAGGATCCCGTTCGTGGGCCCTGCGGCGCGCGGCCACGTGCGCAGCGTTACCTGCCGATGTGCAGGCTGAGCGTCCCGAACGCGTTCCGGAGCCGGTACTTCCCCGCGGGCGCCAGGCGAGGATCGATACGGGCTCCATTCTTAAACCTGGTGGGACACAAAGGCACCACGCCGCTTTAGAGGGATGATACTGGTACAATGAAGCCCGTATTTTAAAATGAGCAGTGCCCAGTGCAGCGGGACCCGACAGCAGAGCGGTCGCGTGGGCTTCTTGCTCCCTCCTCAGTTAATGCTCCCTGCTTTGCAGGTCGTGCTGGGGTTGCGCGGATGTCTGCGGCTTCCCTGTGTTTGCTGGGGATCTGTGGGAGGTTCAGCATCTCTCTAGGCTTTGGATGCTTCAGAGGGCTTGTCCTGAGAGGACACAGCAACCAGGAGCTCTGGCAGGAGCAGAGTTAGCTGCCTACAGAGTCATTAGTTAATGCAAATGTTTGCATAATTCAGGCCTTCCGCAAGGAGGAATGAGCAGGGACTTGGCGGCAGTGGTCAGGCCCAGGGTCTAGCACTTGTTCTCCTATGGATTTGCAGGTAAGCAAAGCTGAGTAAATAGAAGGGTTGCTTTGGATTTTACAAATTACAGGAGCTATGGCAATTTAATGCCCAGGCTTTTATGGTCTCCTGGTTGGTGGTGAAGCCTTGATGATGGGCGTGTGTGCCCTTCAGCGGGGGCAGGGGATTCTGGCTCCCAGTTATATCCTACAGGGAAGAAGGAAGTCGATCTTTCCGTGCCAATTCAGCACATAAGTGTCAGCTCTGTTCCAAAGGAGCCCTCGGGACAGTCCACTGTCTCCAGCATCCCCTGGATACTCCTCTTTACAGAATCCAACAGTGCAGCTAAAATTGAGAGTGTTTTCTGTGAGCTCTTGCGCTCTCCCTTCCTTCTTCCCCGCAGGACGCGGATGTGCCGGCGCGTCCGTGCGCTCGAGCGTGCCGGGCCGGAGCTGGCGCCGCAGCCGCGGTGACTCACGTACCAGGTGACGCGCGGCGGCGGCGAGCCCAGCACCGTGCACACCAGCGTCACTTCCATGCGCTCCCACACGGCGTGCACTCGGAGCGGGATCCAGAACATGGGCGCTCTCCCCGCACGCAGCTCCACCAGTTCCTTCTCCTCCCGCGCCTTTTCGACAGCCTGGGACGAGGACAGAACAAAAGGTGGTGCAAAGGGAAGATATTCTAGTTACACAAATTCATTTACAAAAGGGACGTATGTGATGATGCTGCAAAGATCTTGGCCTTATTTCTCATGGTTTTGAGGTTGTCCTAAAACCTGATCAGCTTTAGGATTTAGTGGTGGCAGCTCTAGCCCTGGGGCATTTCTGCTGCCCATAGAAATGTCTGAGTTCTTCCTACGTCTGACCTTCCTCCGAAGGGCCTTCCGGTCAGCTCTCACACGCAGCAGCCTGCAGTTCCTGATAACTTCTTTCTCCAGCTTTTCCATGTCATTCCCAAACCGAACCCTCTTTTGTCCCCTCTGCTCTAGCTCGAGGATGGCAGCTTCTCTTTTTAGCTTGTAATCCCTGCAATGGAGAGTGTTAAAAAGACAACAAAAGTTAGGGTAAAGTTTTTGCTTGGTCGGTGGGTTTTGTTTCATAGCACATACATTTGGTTAAATCTAAAAAAGCGCCAAGGACAGAGAGAGCAGCTCGCCCATGGTCTGGGTATGATCGCGGGCTCTCCTGCCTCGTGTCAGAGGAAGAGCCTCTTGTTGAACCTGGTCTTTTTGCTTCCAACAAAAGGAACTGGAACCCGGGACATTTCTATGCTGAGGTGCTGGTGTAAACTGGGCTTGTATTTACAAGGATTTCTGACTTACGGTGGTTTTTCGGAGGCCAAGGCCAGGGCAGCTGCTATGGATAATTCTGAAAGGGTGAAGGTCTCTTCTTCATCACTTCCAGAGGCAGGCACGCATCAAGAATGCAAAAAAGTTGAATACATTCATAAATTAAAAATTCAATGAATCTTAATGCCCAGGAACAGTTTTAGAAGGTCCTCTCTGGACCTGATTTCCCTTCCTCTGTGACTTACCTGGTTTTGAACTTTTTCTTGCTAGTGGTAGAGGTCATGTGCAAGCTCTGCTGCCTCTCCTCCTTCTGCTCCTCCTCTCGGTGCTGGAAGAAGGTCCGGGTTCCCATGCTGGGGGGTCAGAACCGAACTTTGTGGCTGGAATAGAACAAAAAAAATGTGGCTTTTCAAATAAGCCATCAAGTCCTCACTTTGCTCTGACATTCAAGGCTGAACGAACAGGGTATAAAAGAGTAAAATATATATATATAGGGCAAAAGTAAGCAAGTTCCTCTCTCAAAGCAACCCCGAATCATCATCCCTTGCAGATATCTCCCTCCTCTCTCATTCCTTCCTGCAGCTGGTTCACAAACCGGCAGCAGAATCCCTAAACCCAACAGGTTTTGGACTTCGAAGAGCTTCTGTTCCTTTAGAGAAGCAGCCGAGTCTGTCGGAAGGGGGAACTGTGGCTGAGCGGGGTCTGTTCCAACACACTTGTAAATCTCCCCCTGGCTCGCAGTCATGATTGAAATTTTCCCTTGGAAAATTTTTGCCTGGATTTTAGTTTCGTTCCTTCCTCGTTCTAAAACTGTACACAATGTAAAAAATCCACCTTATATTACTGGTGTAGTTTTCTGTTAATTCTCTTAAGGATAGTCTGTGTAAGGCACAGTTAAGATGACAAATGCAAAATACCCCAAAACGGCACGAGAACACAGAATTATCATAGTAATAATTCCTCAGTAGAGGGTATCCTTGGAAGACATCGGATAACAGAATCCATTTCTGTCTGGATAACAGAAATGTTGGCAAGTACAAGAGAGAAAATACAACAAAACAGATGTTTATGCGAAGCATATCTTTCAAATTTCCTAGACTGCTACTCTCTTCAGAGCTATTTCGGCTGAAAAATGACTGCTGGGCACCAGATTGCTCTTTGCATGGTCAGGAATTGTTACTGTTCTTTTTTACTATAGGCTGTTCTCAGATTTTCCCTGGATAATTTTGAATAAATATTCAGGGCTTCATAATCTCTGTATCTAGTAAAGATCCAGAGCTCTGAGCTGCTAAAACTAACTATAGTCTATTGCTTTTCAGACTAAGGATATTATTTTCTAAATAGATCAATAAAACAGGCTAGATTAAAAACAAATGAAGCAAAGCAAAATATTTTCACAAGGAAAACATTGGACAAACAGTGATGACTTTAAGCAGATACAATCATGAAGCATAATCTGTCACCTAGGTGCAATTCAAGTAAAGCTCTCATACCCAATAGCTGATGATAAAAGCCATAACATTTTGATATAAGCAGCAGGTTACTTACAGATACACAGCTCAGCCTGTGAAACCACAGCGCGAGCGCCTGTCCTCAGGGAAGATAAAGGACAAAGGAGCGTTTCCTTTTCCCTGTGGATGACACCAAGAATGACTGTCCCCAAAAGAATGTTCCCCATGTTGGAGTGCCCATCCTGATGTCTTAAATATAGCATCCTACCATGTCACCGCAGGGACCATGGGGAGACCGTGCAGGGGTTACGCTGGTGGAGCCACTGACCGTGGTGGTAACTAATCACAACCTCTTTTAGGTCGGGCAAATTAATGCCATTGCCAAGTGATATAAGGCAAGACAGGTGCCTCCGAATTTCAGGCAGAAGAGCGTTATATTTTCCTCTGCTCATTTAGGGTAAGGCTCACAAAGCATCTAAAATGAATCCGGGATGTTTTAATCTCCTCCAGGAATCTCCCCGATGTTAACGCTGCCGTTGGGAGCGGGATTCATTTACTTGGACATCTCTTTAGCGAACGCCCGCTCCTGCCAGACCGTGTGTGTATAATTAGCCCTGGAGCTCGCGGCAGGGCTGGGCTCGGCGGCGGCTGCTCTGCCTTCCCCGGGGCAGGAAGACGAAGGGCGGCTGCCCGGGCACTGGGTGAGATTCCAGGTCCAGCTGCCCATAGATTTATCAGAGGAGGAGTCAGAATTGAACCTCGCAGAGCAGCTAGAGGGGAGCCAAAGGGGGATGTTAGAACAGAAAATCCCTGTACTGGGTCACGCTGAAGGTCTCTTCAGCCCCATGTCCTGGCTCTCAACAGGCCAGTAGCTGTTGAGGGACACGATGCTTTATTGTCACTAATAGTCCTATCCCTGTTAATGTCTCGAGTCTCTTTTTGAACTCTTTATGATTCTCTTTTAAGAAGAGTCTCAACTTACTGTCCCCTCCTGTGGGGGTAATTTCATACCTTTGACCCCTCTTGTCACCTTTTTCCTATAAAAGTATTTCAGAATCGTGCTGCGCTTCTCCCATTGATTTGAAAAGGAGGAGATATCTACAGCTATTTAAAATGCTCTGAGCAGCAGCTCCAGGTCACAGCATTGCCCTGTGCTGCAGCTGCTGCAGATCTTCCTTCGTGCCCTTCTGCTCTGTGTCGTGCCCTCCATCGTGGCCAACATGATGCCAGCGCTGGGTAGGAAGGTTATTTCACCGGGGTCTTTCAGAGCTTCTCCTTGGTTGTGCTTCATTTCCAGAATTTGGAGCTTTCCACTTGTTCCTTGAGTGAGATTTTCCATCGGCTGCTTTTGATGTCCTTCAAACAGGACACCCTTCCACTCAGAAGCAAATAAGAAGCCCAAGAGAAGGGGGAGCGCGAGCGTTGGGCCGGGAGCGCGGAGCAGGGCTCGGAGCGGCCGGACGGGAGCACAAAGACGGCGCTGCTGCCTCTAGGGTGACAGCTGCCACGGCCGCGCTGAGGCCTGGGGACACCTGCCACCCTCGGGACAGCTGGCTAAGAATAAGCACGGGCTTCGGCACCCGGCTGTTCTAGTTGTTGTTATCTAGCGCTATCAAAACCCTTATCTGGAAAAGTCGAGGTAAACGTGGAATAATCTCTTGTTATATCCAGATGGCTTGCATCTGAAGACCTTTGAAACATGCTGTTTATCTGAAAGGGTGCTTACACAGAAGGAGCGTGAGGTAATTAATACAGCTGTTTTCCAGTTATGAAGCCAACAAGGCTATAAATTTAATAATGCAAAGCCATGGTGGTTGGGGATGGATGAGCCGGAGGGAGGCGCCTCCTTGGCCTGGAGAGTCTCTGCCAATGGAGATCCCTGTCTGTCACTGTGGCTGCAGGGCCGGACGGTGCCACAGCCTTTACCGCAGTGCTGCTCTAGGCAGCTTTCACCAGCCCGTGTTCTCAGAAGGGACATGGTTTTGAAAGCAGTTAAGACACCTGACAGAGAGATCAGCATTTCACCGTGCGCCTTTTTGCAGCGTTTGGCACCTACGGGCACATCTGGGAGTGAGCATCAGCTCCCATCTCTCCCCTAGGACATGGAGGTGACACATTTTTTAAGGGCTGTGACATGATCACACTCTCTGGCAAAGGCTGTAGATGTTCTTAAGATGGGTAACGGAAGGATTTGAGAAGGCTGGTAAATAGCAAATATGTATTTTGCAGTGTCTTAATGCTCTTGTTAGGCCCCTTTCCCTTCGCCGCAGTGCTGCCCATACTGACCGTGCACTGCGGGTTATGTTTCACAACAAGAGCCAAAACGATGACATTGTGGCATTTGATTATTCCCTGAGTAGCGTGCCTGGGAATGCTGTTGACACAAGATATGCAGCCTACGGGCGACTCCCAAGAAAGGAGCTGGCATCACTGGCTTGAAATGCAGCTGCTCCTCGGGGGGCACTGCTGGAGCAGGACGTTACCCCAGGGAGCTCGGTTCTCCTGGGAACAACACAACTTGGCTGCTGCACGTTTGGGAACGGCAGCGTTTCTGTGTGGGCTGTTTCTGATGCTCGAGTTTGGACGCAGGATACGAGACGTGACCTCTGGTGTTGAATGGCACTAAGCAGAGCTGCTAGGAAAGCCAGCACAAGGAAGTGTTCTCACTTGGTTCCTGCCCAGAACAGGTATAGTCACACCTTTCATATCCTTTTCCATGAAGCTTCTGCATCTAATCTGGCATTCGGACCTTTCTGCCTCATGCAACATGAGCATAGAGCTTTGTGTGTTATTTATTCTAGAATTAGGGGCTGAACCATTTCCTATCAAATATGACGCTCCCAGGACTATTCCTTTAATCCTGCAGTATGTGATCTGCATATTACATTCATATAACTTTGTTTTGCTTTTTAGAGCAGTCAGTTTTCATCACTGATGATAAAGAAACACGTCTTCCATTCTTATTTCTCTGCTGCCTCTTTTGAGAGAGGGTCTCAGCATGGCGTCTAGCTGACACCTCCAAGCAGCATCACTCTTAGCAAAACTGCTCTTTGCAATCACAGTGCATTGTGGCAGCTCCTGATCATCCAAATGGCTTATCTGCACCCCCGCCTCGATGGAAGAAAACCACCTTACTCCTAGTATCAGAGTTTATTTGCAAAATCACAGTGAAAGAAGTGGAATTTCACCTTTAGCCTCCACTCTCTGCACACAGAAGACACGTAAGAGCCCTCGTGGGGAGAGCAGCTCCTTCCTGTTTCTATTCAGCCTCTCAGTGAAAGCGCTAACCCGGGCAGGGCTCCCCCCTACAGCCTCACAGCCTCCTCCCCACGATTTCAGTTCTCCTTTAAAGCTGACGTCAGGAGACTTCTTTTTTATCACATGGAAACGAATGAGCAGGCTGAGCTCTGCTCTGCTCCAAGGTAATAGTCTCCTCGGTGCCCCAGATGTGTCCTGCCTTTGGCAGGGCTCCGTGCTGGGGGACGTGGCTCTCACTGAATTCACGCAGCTTTGGCCTCGTTCCAGGAGGAGCAGAGGAGGGTTCTGCAGTTCAGGCCTTTCTCCTTCGCGCAGATGGAGCCTGTCGCTCATCAGCGGCGCTGTCAAAGGAAGCAAAGATGAAGCTCAAGATTCCCTAGTCTCCCTCACAGGTTACCTCGTGTATGAGCATTGCTAGGGCTCAGCTGAGGCCCCCGAAGGCTGTTACCCACCAAGCAGCCGGGTTAGCACAAAATAACCCAGCTCCTGCCTGAGAGGAACCTGGGCCAAGCCGCCCTGGCCCCTTCATGGCATTTGCATGGGGAAGAAGAGCAGGTTGTGCCTATGTGATGAGAAAGAAATGAGTAGCAGCTCATTTAATAGGGGCCGAGGCTGCATAAAAAGGGTTTATTTTGGGGAAGCCCCAAGGAGCGCACGGCGGGACGGGGACAGGCGGTTTCACAGAACTGCTGCAGCAGGAGCTACGACCAGTTTCAATGATTGCTTTAAAGGCAAAGTCCAGGCCATGAAAGTAGGCTCTTGTTTGCAAGAATCATGTCCAAGGATACAGCACAAATGCACAAATTCGAATTTTGAATCTATTTTGGACTTGGAACCTTGGTGCTGATAAAGAGTGGAAGTTGCTTCTGTCCTGAACTTTCCCACATTCCGAGGATACTGAATTTGGAGTTTGAACCTGAGTCGCAACTTAGCTTTTAAAAAGTAATACAGTCCATAATCTATTTAAAGAAAATCCAAGGAATAAAGACATATTGTAAACGAAAAGATAAAGCATGACAGTTTTCCAGAAGTAGTGATATTAGTGAATGTAACTATGTCCATAATATAACTACAGAGGAAACAGTGTGACCACTCAGCACCAGCCTGTAACACATCCAAGAGCTGCTAGGTTTATTTCTGTTGTACTGTTTGCATGGTAGGTCCTATTTCATGCAAGTAAATAGCATCAGGATTTTAATATCAGGATGTTCTAATAAATTTCCATGTTCTCATCCATACCTTGCTCCCACTGAACCTTTAAATCTATGTCTTTGAACAGCATAGCAAGGGGGTCGCCACTGTCCTGGCCGGAGCTGGTGTCCTGGGACAGAGCGTTGCTCAGTTTTGTGCAGCTCAGTTCCTCCACTGCCTTGAGCATCTCTGTTTCTCGAGTCTCTGGGGACTGCCATTTATTTTCAGGATGTGAGAATGGATCCGGTGACATCCACCACTCCGTGTCACGCTCTTCAGGGAGGCTGCTACCGCTCAAGAGTGAGAGGAGGAAACCCGTGGGGACAGACGGCAGGGATTCCTCCTCGGGCCCAGAGCGCCGGTCGACTTGCAGCGACGGCGGCAGCTCTGCGCTCTGCTGGCTGCAGCAGCCCCCGTGGTGCAGCAGGGACAGTGGCCGCTGGGGTCCCTGCGCTTTCCTTGTCACCGCCCCGGGCTGCAGCAGCAGCTGCCCTGTTTGCCCAGGGCTCCCCTGCAAGCACGTGTCGCTGCTCTCCCACACGGACACTTCTGGCCTCTGTTCTTTGTAATTCCAGTGACTCCAGGTGTTGTCCACGCTCTGGATTACCAGCTTTCCACCAACAAAATAATCTGCAGAAACTTCCTTTAGCGGCTGGTTTGGCTGCAGTTTCTCCTGGTGAGCCTGGCCGGTGCCTTCGACACACACGCCGTAGTTGAGGGGCAGAGCGTGGCCGGGCCCGGCGCAGGGGACACTTTGCGGAGCCATTTGCGGAGCGTAGGCCGGAGCAGAGGGGGTGACCGGGCAGTGGGACTGCGCGTGTGGCAGCAGGGCTGCCACCCCGGCCTGTTGCTGATAGATAGTTTCAGGTGGACCAGAAGACCCTTGTGGATCCAGGGCTTTGTCCAGACGCTGGCTGATCTGCGGTAACTGCATTTCAGGGGTTAAAAGTGCAGGTTTGGATAAATTAATGGGCTTTATAATATGCTCCAGTGTCAGCGTAAGAGGCCGGAAGGGTGAAATCCCTCTGAAATCCTGTCAAAGATAGACAAACATGAATTACTAGTGAGAAGTCTGTGACTTTAAAGGCTTGTTTGAAGATTTGCTGCAAAGACTTTGGGGCACTTACCAAGGACATGGGCCGTGCACTGCGTTGCTTGACGTACTTGTAGATCACGTAGCTGATTGCAGCAAACACCAGTCCTGCCGCGAACACGAGTGCCACAAGACAATAGAGCAGCCAGGTGTTATCTGGTGAGTGGAGGAGAGAACATGCAGAAACGTTGCTTCAGTAAGTTGGGCTAGAAATACTTGTGTGGAATTGTCTAAATGCCATTATAGATCCTTTGAAATTAGGAAAGTCAGTGTTGCTTCAATACCTTCACCAAAGCTCTGTTTTTTTATAACAGCTGAAAATTGGTCTCTCGTGCAGCCTGCGTCCCAGCTAGACCTCAGGGAGCAGAGTTAGCAGCCTCACCTGCTAAAGTGCGAACCCCAAACACTCGAGCTCTGCTGCTTTTCTCGAGGATGCTGATGTGCACCGTTCCGTTATACTCGGTGTCCGGGTCCAAGTTGGAAACTTCAAATTCTTTGCTGTGCTCATTCTTTGTCCACTATTTAAAATAAATGCAAATTCTGTATTTTAGAAAGGTTAAATTTATGCAATTACTTCAAATCAGATTGCAAAATTCAACATACGATTTTATTTGTGAATAATGCATTACAGGACTCTAGTAAGTCTGTATGCATGAATTCTAAGTCTATAATTTGCTTTCCACTGTTGTTGCATTTACTTTTGCATATCAGTTCCTCAGTACTAGTTAAGTCAATTTCATTTTTCATATGTATCATTTATCATCCTTACTTACACAGAGAAACACATAAAGTTCCTGTTGTCTTAAGAAAGTCAAAGAGAATGAGTTTCCCTTTTGGAGCAGAAATCACACCCATTTTTAATCAACTCTGATGTCTTTCTCCATTTATACAAACTGTGATTTGCAAAAGTCAGTGGCCTGAGGTTGAGCTTTACCTTTTGGTGTGTCCTTTGGTTGAATATTGTTAAGTGATAGTCGACAGCACCAAATTTGCTGTAAATGTCCTCGACGGTTAGTTGGCGGTTGTCCTCGCCTCTCAGCGGTGTATAGGGGGGCTGTATAAGAAACTTTATGGAACGGACATTAGGAATATAGTCCACTTCTGGTGCTCCAATGACAGCTAGCAAACACAAAACAGGAGTGGCCGTGGGTAAGATTAAAGCTGAAATGGCATGGGATGATCATACACACGTAGGCTGCCATTTACCCAGATGCTGCAGACTCATCGTGCTTTATGAAACTTCTACAAAATGTTGCTACTGCTTAACAAGATTGTTTTACACAATAGAAAAGCTGATTTTAGGTATTTTTTGGTTACTTACGTTCATAGAGTAATTCCACAAGGCTTGAGAAAATCAAACCGAAAAGCGTTTGGGCAGCACTTACTGTCCTTGCGGGGCTGGAACCTCTCGGAGCTCACCCAGTCTGCGGAGCAGGCGCCGGGCGCGCTGGCCCGCACGCGGGCATAGAAATGCTCGGCCACGTTGTCCGTCTCGCGCGTGAGGTTGCAGAAGGGCCTCGTGATGCCCTGGCACTCGCGCTTGTTGAGCCAGACCTTCTCGCCATACCTTAGGGAGGACCAAACGAAAACTCTTAGCCCGTTTTGCAGAGCAGCTCCAATGCTCTCCGCAACAATCCACACAGGCCATGGGGCCAGTCCTGACTCATTTTCAAATTAATTAGTGCAATTAGCAAGTGGTTGGGACAGGAAGGGCCAAAAACCTTCCCCTGTGTCGGAGCCCGTAGCCCCCTCCTCGCTGACGGCGTCTCCATGGATGCTGCATTGAGGAAGGGCCGTTCGTGTTCGAGAGGAGGGTGCTGAGAGCCGGCGCTGCCGCGTCCTCGGCCCCGCGCGGTGGCCCTACGCAACAGAGCTCCAGAAAGAAGCAAAGCCCACGTACTGTTTGTACTGCACATCGAAAGCCGTGCCGGGAGGAACATCTGCCTCCGTTTCCCAGATGAGGATGTTCTCAAAGTTCGTGGAAGAAAACGCTGTGTGTTTCAGACATGATGATCTCTCCGTAGCGACAGTCCCTGGGGGAGCAAAGTAGCTCATGTAAGAAGGCAGGTTCTGCCACGCCAGGTTCAGAGGAAGGGGCTCCAGTGCCCACCAGGCACGAGCAGCGATTCCAGGCCCAGCACCGCAGCGCAGCACAGGCACATTGTGCAGGCCTGGCACATCAGTGCCGCAGGGCGAAGACAGGAACGTTAGCAAGCGCTAAAGAAAGCCCCGAGTCAGAAGAAGAATCCAGGACTCCCTGCTAATACTGCTTTAAAGCAGTTAGGTGCTGAGAAGCTGACAAGAGCAGTCTGGTTTCAAGGCTGTGTCCGTGCCCATACTGGAGCATCTCTCGCATGAGGAAAGACTAAACAAGCGGAGCCTGTTTGGTCTGGAGAAGAGAAGACTGAGAGGAGGTTTGATCAACATGTGCAAGTACCTGAGGGGAGAATGTAGGGAGAATGGGGCCAAACTCTTCTCCATGGTGGCCAGTGACAGGACGAGGGGGAAAGGGCGCAATTTGGAACATAGGAAGTTTAATCTCCTTATGAGGAAGAACTTCTTTCCTGTGAGGGTGCCAGAGCCCTGGCACAGGCTGCCCAGAGAGGCTGTGGAGGCTCCTTCTCTGGAGATCTTCAGCCCGCCTGGATGCCACCCTGTGCCCCTGCTCTGGGTGTCCCTGCTGGAGCAGGAGGTTTGATTGGGGGATCCCTAGAGGTCCCTTCCAACCTCAGCCATTCCATGACTCTGTGATTCTGTGCGCTCTCTCTCTGCTTTCTGCCCAGGCAGGGAAGCCATGTGCTGAGATCAGGGCCCATCATTGCAGCTGTGGGTGCCGTGAACCTTTCGTGTTCCAAGTTTTTATTGGAGAAGAGCTGGCTGTACAGAGCAGCGCCCGGAGAGCTGAGGCCTGGACTCTGCTCCGGGAGTGCCGCTGGCGGCGGACACGGCACCCGCGGCTCCCTGCGCTGCCACAGGCTCTGCCTTTGGTGAGGAACAAGTCACCTCCCTCTAAAAAACACGCGCCCGGTCTGAGCAGAATAGCCCCAAGATCTGTCTGCAGCCAACTAGGCCTGGGCAGGCCTGGAGAAACGTCCTGGAGCCTCCTGGCTCCCCACGAGGCGGTTGCTGCCGTGGGAATGCACAGCACAACCTTCCTCACGGCTGGGCCGTAAAAGCTGCTAACTTGGAAAGCAGCCTGCAGACCGGATGAACTGTGTGAGTTAGCGTTATAGCCCTGTCCTCAAAGACGTGTCATTTATACATTATTCCCAGCTCTGTGTTTGTGATATTGATAAACTGAGGACCAAAGTGAGGGTGATTTGGACAAGATCTCATTGGCCAGTTGTGGTGGAGCAGGGACTAAAACAACGCCAGTTCCTGAATCCTCCCCTCCTTAAGCTTTCCAGCTGCCTCCATAGCACACTGGAATGTCACCAGCATAAAACCATGGTGCTGTGTAAGAGGAGATTTGGGCAGAAAGGCATAAATCCAGCTTTCAGCCTTGTTATTTAGGGCATTTGGGCAGGGAAGCAACACAAAAATGGGCTGGAGTCTAGTCCATGTTTTGTCCTGACCTCAGCTGTAGTTTAGCACTTGCCTTCCCCATATACAGCTTATCAAAATCTTCCTGGTAGGATTTTCAGCGGTCAGTAAAAAGAAAGCGGTTGTCAAAAGTCCCCAGACCGTATCAGAAGTGGGAAACCTCCGTCTTCCCCCACTTTTCCACTCCAAAACACAGGTATGCAAAGCAGCAGTGACACAAGCAGTCAGTGTGGGCAGGAGAACCAGGATATTTCACAGGATGAAAGTCCCTGTTTCTTAATTTTCCTTGGGCACTTTCCTCTACCATATAAGAGCATGGACACATAAACAGAGCCACAAAAGCTGAAAAACAAACTGTCTTGTGGCAGTAGCAGATGAGTTACCTGCAAAGCTGGTGCTGGAAAATGTGGCAAGTTTATCCTTGCTTCACCCAGGAATGACTTAGCTACACTTGGAGCAGGGTTAAGTGGCTTTTAGGAAGACATTATGTGTTTGCAGCTTTTAAAACCAGGGTTGTTAATGTGTTCATATGCTTCCCCACTTAGGACACAGGGCAACTGATCTAAAGCCCCCTGAAGTCAACGGATATCTTTTTTTTCCTGTAGCATTTGGCTTGTCCAATACTCTGCAAGAAACTTTCCTTCTCCCTACCAATCCATAGAGCACTGAGCAACGAGGACATTTTGGAAATACGGAAAGGAGAGCCCAGTGCAGCAGGGAGTGTTTGAACGAGCTCAGAGGGCGGCTCCTGCTCTTGGTTTTGTTTGAGGAGTCGCGACTGAACCACCCCTCGTGCTACAGGACCCAGCAGAAACCACCATCATCGTGAGCAGCGATAGGAAAAGAAGAAATCGGGACTCACCAACCACCGAAGACACGGCCCAGAGGATCAGAAGCTGCTTCATGAATAGCCGCGCGCGCTGGGATGTGGAAGCAGGCAGTTCCTGCTGCCCGCAGGTGAATCACCTCTTGCAAGATCCAAGCTCTTGTTTGTGCAGCGCGGTTGGCTTCGTTGCCCAGGAACAGCCCGTGGAGCCGCGAGCGCGCCCGCCTTCCCGCCGGGATCGCCGCGGCCGGGCGCTGTGCGCATGTGTGGGAACGGGAGGGAGCGCGGGCGGCAGCGCCGCTCCCGCCGCCGATCCAACCTCGCTGCTCCACGGTGCGCGGGCCACAGGCCTAGAAAAGCCCTGGCTTCTGAACCGGAGCCAAATACCAGTTTCCTGGTAGGGAGCCTCCTGCCCGAGAGCCCTCACTGACGCTTCTCACTCTGGGGAGCTTTGACTCGTTCAAGCTCTCAAAGTTAGTGCTGAGCATGTAGCTGGTTTATGCCTTCGGCACACAGGACACCTGTTTACTCACAAACCACCCCTGGATCTTTGCTTAAACCGAAAGTCAGGCAGATCTGTAGTTTTCAAGCTCTCCTGTTCGTGCTGAGCGTGGATGGGAGCCAAGTGACTCACAGGTAGCCCGGCTCCCTCCTGGGCGGAGCGCGAGGTGCTTCTCTGCCCCGTGGCCTCCGTGGGGCCGTGGCCTCTGCGGGGCCGGTGCCTCCACAGCCTCCTCGTGTGGGGAGGAAGGAGGAAGCCTTTGGGTCAGAGCAGCACCCACCAGCCCAGCTTCCCTTCTTGCTCTCACCAGAAGCAACCATAGACCTACTGTTTACATTAGTGGCTGCTGCTAATACAAGACGTTGTTCAGTATATCAAGTATAGTGAAAAGTGACAGTAATTCTGAACAAGGAGTTGCTCTTCCTTAGCCTCCTTGGGTTTTAGGGTGTCCTTCAGGCAAATTTTTGGACTTGCCTCAGAAGAGGGAGAGACATTTCCTGCTTTGGCTGAACGTGAAAACTAAGTGCCCATCTAAATCTGGTTCCAGGTTTGAAACGCAACATCTGGATTTCAACCTCCAAAGTGTGGACCCTGAAGCTGTATCAGGAGTGACTGCCAACCAAAGGATATGGGAGATCTGATCCCGGCTCTTTGTGCATCCATCGGCTGAATAACACCCGAGTCTTGTGGTTGACTGGGTCACATCTCCCACTGAGGTGAGAGCGCTGCTTTCCTCGTTACAGGGTGTTAAGGAGTAAGTTATAGGCTGACTGCTGCACCTGAAGTAGTGGCCTCTGACCACTCTGGCCTTTTCCTGGTGTGATGGCAGGAGGTCTCACACTGTGGTGAGCACCTCAGGGTGCCACTGCCACCAGGGCTGCAGCCTCCTCCCCAGCCCCGCTCCCGGAGCGGTGACATGTCAGGATAATCCTGCGGAGCTTACACAACTTCTCCTGGGCTTCCTGGAACTTAAGGCCTAGGGGTTTTTCTTGATTGCCAAAGAAAATAGGTGGCGGTTATACTTAGATGATATTTATCTTTCTAAATGAACAGCAGGGATTCCAGTACAGTGTGTCCCAGGGGACAGCTGGGTGGCCAAGCAAGAGATCTTCCTGATCTGGTTCTCCTGTGATCATTAATATGTTCTGCAACACCCCTCCCTCATCCAGCAAAAATCTCTATGAATGCAGCAAAAATCTACTGTGTCCCCCGTTCTTTTCTTAAGCCTTGCTTTTCTTCATATCATTTTTTGGGAATAAAATAGAATATTATGTTCCTGTCAGACACAGAATGCGAATTAAAAATACACTGAAAAGGTCAAAATCACCCAGTCAAGAGGGGCCCCATCTCTCTTGCCCTTTTTGTTGGGTGTTTTGGGATGTGGATTTGATCTTTGCTCAGAAAGATGGTCCCAGTCCGGGTCTCTCTGGGGAAATCCAAGCAGTGGCGCTTGGAGGCCTCGCTGGGCGGTTGCACAGGACTCCATTCAAACCCAAGCAGGGCCATGGGAAGCCCCTGGTTGTGTTTGGAAATGCCGTGTTTTTCCAGGTGAGCTGTGGTGACCCTGTGCACTTTGGGGCAAACATAAACACACACAAATAAACACACACACACAGTTATCTAGCAAAATATCAAAATATTATTGCCTCTACATAGCCCGTAGCTCTCTGACCCGGGGCAAGCTCAGCGTCCATAACTATAAATAAAAAACATAAATAAGTGCATTTTCCATGCATGCCACAGAACTGCTGCTGTGCTCTAGCTCCTTGCCATGTAATGCGTGTGCTCACAGCCTTTGAATTTAAACTTTTGACCACAGTTTTCCTCCATATCTGAAGTTCCAAATGCATCGCTTAGCACAGTGGATGCAGGAGGTGTCCCTTCCATAAAATTATCGCTGTCACAGTCACTTGCAATACCCTCATCTTCTGCCACCTGCAATGTCTGAAAGCAAATGAGCTGCTCCTTGTTTGGACCCTCACTGAGCTGCGAGTACTTTGTGACCAGGAGATCCCCACCAGCCCTTTGCTTCTGGTGGGACCTGGTGAAATGTTGATCCTTCCCATGCAGGAACTGCTCAGCAAGCTGAGGTTGGACCCTGAGTTCCTCCTCCGGCGTTTGCGGAGGGGTCATTTCCACACGTTCATCCCTGTCTGTGTCACTGTGTCCTTGTCCCCTGGGATCTGGATGCCTCCCATCATCGAGGCACACACTTCCCAAAGAGGGACTGCCAAAAAGGGATGTGTTGGTGCTTCCTTGGGATCCAGAGATGTACACCTCCTTCTTTCCCGGTGGATAGAAAGGGAAACCCAAGGTCCTCAGGTCAAGCACAGATCCACCATCCACACAGAGTCCTCCAGATCTAGAGTCCGAGCTGGTTTCCCCCCGAGCTGTTCTGGGCAGCTGCTGGTTGAGACTTTTCCTTGGGAACTTAGACATTTTAGTGTATGGGATGAAAGTACCACTGTCTTCTTCCTCGTCCTCCTCATCCTCTTCTGATGACGATGAGAGGAAAGAAACCCTCCACGGCAGGTTGTTCCTTGCCGTCGTGCTGGTGTTGTTCCCTTGTGGCCCTGGCATCTCTGTGCACATCAGATAGTCCTTGGAGAACTCCTGCTCCCTGAGCTCGCAGTGAAAGGCTGTTCCAGCAGCTGGGAAATGGGAGAAATCCTGCCGGGAAAGAGAGGCGAATCAGACAGATCACAGCATTGGGGAGACCTTTTAAAGAAAAGGGACATGCCAGAAACAAAGTTCTCCTCTGCAGGGACTTGTGCCCACTGCTGCCCTCTGCAAATCCCCAAGACCTGCAGGCAGGAGGGGAATCCAAAATTTGGACCGTACCAGAGCAAGAGGCATCTTTGGCGGTCCTGCACCTTGCTTCAGCAGCCGCGTGATGAGGACACCCACGAGAAGGAAGGGGAGGACAAATGCAGGGGCCATGGCAGAAAGTGGGAACTTCCACCCTGCTGCTGAAGAAGAGAAACAAAAATCAGCTTCTGCAGGTGCTGTATTTTTTGCTATTTCGGGGCTTGTACATTCAGCTTTTCTTTCAGAAATCTCACAATGTTGGGCCCCAGATTCCTACTTTGTCAATGTAAAGGAAGGATAACAGAATTGCATAAGACCAGACTTCTAAGTCGAGAATCAGAATCAGAAGTGAAAGTCAGAATTGAATATTCTGAAGAAATACAGTAAAAGCAAAACTAGAGTATATTTTTTCAAGATTTTTAGGAAATATTTAGGAAATATTTCAGGGTTGGATTTTCCTAAAATGAAAATATTTCTATAGAAAGCAGGCACCTTTCACTAGAAAACCCAGCCAATCTTTTAAACTTTTTTTTTTTGCTGTAAAGCTGATTTTGATGGAAATCCTCGGCGTGCCCCGCTCCGATGTGGTGGCTCGCCGCCCTCCTGCGCGGCAGGGCCGGCTGTACCTCGGTGG